ATTTCCATTGTTTTCTCTCCTACATTTGGGGCAACCCCGTGGATATCTTGGCTGGAACGGGGCATTACTCTTAGACACCTGTTCCTCAACCTTTGCTTTAAGGGAACTTAATTCAGACTTTATTCCCTTGATCTCTGCGAGGAGGTCCTGTTTTTCACTGGCTTCTGGGGATGTCCCCTTTTTCCCCTTTGCCCCCTCAACAGAACTCACCTTGGCACTTTTCGCAGACAGCCTCTCTGTTAAACCAAGCTTGTTTTCTCTCTCGGTCTTTTGGGAGGCAAGTTCGTTGATGCTTCGCATAAGTTCCTCATCAGACACACCGTCCTTTCGTAGAATTGGTCGTAAACTAGTTGTCAGATACTCATCACTAATTCCAGTTTCTAAAGCTTTCAGAAAAGTATTCTGGATTAACTGGCTACCATAGTTGAAATCAGTGTCTGCTTCCTTACTAGCAAAAACAACTTTATTTCTTGCATCCATAATTCTTAACAAGAACTGTTGCACACTTTCTTTGGGTTTTTGGCACATTGTAGTTAGTTGCTGGTACAATTCTGAAGCTGTCTTCTCACAATAATGGATCCTTAAGACCTTTCGTAGTTGGGGAAGACCAAGTTCTGGCATTGTCTCAATGTAACTACGGAGGCTTGTGTGTGGTGAAATAGCTCGGATTACTGCATCGACAATTTCATCCTCAGTGTATTTTCGTTTGAGCCCTGATTCAATCTGGTGATTGAGAGAGATATATGTCAGTTTTTCTGCTTGTCCTGGTTCTCCAATCTGCCCCGATATCTTAAAGTCTCTTCTCAACAACGCCCGGGTACTTGAAGGCACTTCAATCACTGATGCGTTTTCACTACTGTTTACTTTGACTTTGGCAGATTTATCATTAACTCCAATTTCCAATTTATCTATCTTCGCTTGCATTTCTAACAATTGTTTCTCTTGTTGGCTTTTTAACTGTTCATATTCCTGTTGCAACTTTGACAATTCTCCTTTCTCATTTACTGGCGATAATTCAGGAGAGCCACCAAGCGTTAAAAAAACATCGTTCAAAAGTTGATTTTTCGCCGTCGGGCTTTCAATTCCTTCGACAATCTCTTGAAGCCATCTCCGTACTAAATTTATTATCTGACCCCTCGACTTTTCTTTCAATTCTTCGATCTTTTCATACTTTAACTTCTCGGCCGCTTGCAATAACACCTCCACATCGTTTTTATAAAGTAACTCTTCCACTTTTAGTTGTAATTCCTCGAGATTCTCCATAGTATAAACAAATACAGCAAAGTCAAAACCCTTTCGTAGCGTCTTACATAATGTCGCTTATATTTCCACCAAAATCGGCTTTAATTCCATCCCTAAACCAGTTGGCAGCCCCACGTTGGGCGCCAAAATGTTACTCCTTTTTCCCTTCACGTATGGAACATAACGATTACAAAAGGTATATATTTTATTACTAACAAAATGTGAACTATATAAACTCTCGTTTTACATGTGCTCGAAGCAACTGTTAATCTATATATCGTCCCGCGAGTGTCCCACGCGTGATTCTTGCGTAATCATACAACTAAGGGCAGGGGCCCTACAGTAGTCCCTCTCTTTTTTATATGTGGTCTAAGTTTTGTATGCATGGTCATCATCTCTGCAGGAACATGGAGGATCTGTTGGTAACTCTTGATTCAGTTTCTTTAGATCCAGTGTGGTTTCCAACAACTGCCAAAATCCTTTATGAATGTGCTGTTCATATGAGTGCAAATTACAGGCAGGAAGAAGCAAAACGCCTCTTGAACTTTGCGTATCGTATATTAGACTGGGTTCCTGTAGCTGAGTATGAAACTGTAAAATATAATATTTCGCATAATTTCTTGTTTCCACTTTCTATTCCTTTATCAAAATCAATTCAAATTGTGATTAGACGATGTTGTATGCCTCCTTTCGCTTCACTTGTAGCGCTGACTGATTATGATGCTGGTTGTTTTGATGTAGGCGATTTGGAGGAGAAATTGGAGAAATTAAAGTTGGATGGAAACAAGAGTTTCAAGGAGGGTCTTTATATAGAAGCATTAGATGCGTATTCTACTGCAATAGATTTGGCTGAAGAGTGCAATAATGCTTTCAATCCCTTGTTGCTTACTAACCGTGCGACAGTTTACATAAAATTAGGGCAACACGAAGATTCTTTAAAAGATGCAAATGATTACATAACGCGTCGTCCAGATTGCTGGAGGGGTTATGCTAGAAAAGCTCTCGCACTTGATGGCTTGAATGAGAAAGTCACTGCTGACATAGCTGCTGCTTTAGCTTTTTATTACAGTAGGGCTATTTTCTCAGATTATTCTCTATTCAAGGAATCTTTCTCTGATTTGCAGAAACGCATTTTTGTGTGCGATACTGTGGATCAGCTCATTTCCAACGCTGGACTCTCTCATGATGAAGGAAACTTGCTAACAATTCTCGTGTTGGGATCGAATGATTATGTCTTAAATTCTGACATAGTGGTCGTATAGTTTTGAGAAACTGTATTCTAGTTGGTGCAAGAATAAACTGTTCCGTTCTTCTGAAGTTCGAAAATAAGACAGACGTTTATTTGTTGAATAAGTGCATGATTACCAATCTTTCGTTTTTTTTGGAAGAGGGTCAGGTTACTGGACAGCGAGGTTCATTGGTCAAAGTTCTCAACTGCAATTTTACCGGCAAAGATAAGGACAGGCCTATTGTTGGAAGTTTTGCTGGATTTAATGCAGAAAGTTGTAATTTTTCAAACGGCAACAATTATGGGTTAGAATGTGTCGGACCTGGTAAAACGGTTGTCGTCGACTGTTCGTTTTATAACAATGGGATATCTGGTTTAGGAGTTAGCAGAGGTGGAAGTTTGTTTGTGAAAAACAGTCGCATGTATAACAATCGTGTGCATGGGTGCCAAATTGGAACCGAAGCATCAAAGTGTGTCGTAGTTAATTGTGATATACACCACAATGACCAAGAAGGGATTTGTGTCGGGAACTCAAAAAATGTTTCGATAATACGTAATAACGTCTTTGCCAATAACATGTGTGGATTATTTATAGAAAGTGCTGAGGCGGATATCAGAGAGAACAATATTTTTGACAACGATTTGTGGGGAATTTGGTCCCTTAAAAATTCTTGGTGCAATATATGGATGAATAGAATTTTTCGCAACAAAGCTGGTGGAGTACGTGTGGGATATCGAGCTGCAGGGGAAGAGTTTTCTCCATCTGTCGTCGAACTAAATAAAATGCATGACAATATTGGTCCTGGGTTTGTGGACAGTACTATTGCAACAAAACTGGAATTAGTAAAAGGTTTGCAGGACACAAATGACGCTGACGATTATATGAACTCCTATTTGAAGTCTCCCAATTCACATCAATCCGCAAAATGCCAGGATAACGAAGTGTACAATAACAAAGAAAGTGAAAACGTGAGTAAATTGAATTTTTCCGTTCCATATTGCTCAAATTGTCGAAAGAAGTGCGAACCGAACAAGTGTGGAAAGTGCTTTACTACCAGCCTCGTCCCTGGCGCTTTGATGTGTCCTCCCGCGCGCGCGCCACGCAACATCAAAGCGCCGGGGACGAGGCTGCTTTACTGCTGTGTATTGCAATAGAACTTGTCTAGAAGTCCATTCGTCGAAGCATAAGAAAATAGGTTTTACTTGAAAAAGTGAGTTTTGTCGTCACTTCTATAGAAAGATCTGGATATGATGGTATGATTAAACGTCACGCTGAAGGTCTAGAAGAAATTGGTCCACAGTTCAGTCCACCACCGCCACGAGATGGCAGGAGGTTTGTTGTAAAAGTGCAGTCTTTGCGGTTTGGTAAGGAGCCGCACTGTCTTCTTCTGTACGATCGCAGTCTTGAACTTTACGAGGAAATCCAGTCGAAAGTTATTGCTAAACTCGTGCAAGAATTTGGTATACAATGTGAAAGGCAGCTTTTGCAGAAGAAACTTTTCTTGCATTGCTTGTTTGAAAAAAACGGACAGTTCCGATTGTTCATTAATAGGGACCTTAAGCAAACAGGACGGCAACGCGACGAGGACGGCTATTCACACAATGATATTCCTGATCTCGTACAAAAGAAATGAATAATTAAAAGCCCCACGGGAGTTAGAGATGTTGTGTTAGGGCTTTTTACAACGGCAAACCAGAGATGTTCACGTCTCGTGTACAACGCAGACATGTCAAGACGCGACAAGTGAAACTACAAATTTGCTCAGCAGAAGCGTTTTTAACAATAAAGCCTTTGTTTTAATCTCTTCAAACTCAACTCAATTCATATATACATGCAGTGGACAAAACATAACAACACTTCTTCGCAATAATTTATTTGAAGAATTTTGTTTTGGCTGTCGTCGTTGCGTTACCGTCGTGCATGCTTAAGGTCCCTAATGAATTCGCCGATTTTCTAAAATGGTAATTAATGAATAATAAAGTCAGATACAATGATGGTGTGAACATCTGCAACATAATAAGAAGTTGTGAGTCGAAAAAACGAAAATGTTCATATTACACAAAATTATGTACTTGAAATGGAAGTCGAACGTTTCTCGCACCGAAAGCCCTTCTTACACGTGGTCAATAGAGGGCAACGAGGGGCCACAGCAAGAACCATATCCACGAAGCATCTGATTGGCCACAACGAAGGTTATCTTTCTAATACCGGACACATTCGTTTGAACTTTTTACAGGTTTCCAGTCCGTCAGAGAATGCCAAAATGGCACTTTTTATACCACTTAGAGAACCAACCGCAAGGAGTTATAGCTACTGTATATGCTGGGCATGTGTACTGCATGTGAACGAAAACACAGAAACATTTGTAAACTTATTAATAAATATAGGCCGAGTTCAAGGCCGTTTTCCACTTCAACCGCTTCGTACCGAAACATATTGGTGAGCATAGTTCATAGTACGTAGATTGATTCACGAAACTCAACTTCTTGGCGTACTGCAGAAGTATTAAATAATCAACTTTCACTAAATTTTTCTGACACGTTTCGGTACGCTACGCTTGAAGTGAAAAACAGTATTTACACTATGACGGCTACGGCAAATTTATCGGAGCGCATCGATTTGCGTCCGCAGTAGCAAACGTGGTGGTCGGTAGTTGTTACGCTACCACAAACCACTCCGTTATTGTACGTGTAAACACAATACTATGGGGATGAGAGTGCAGACATGAGAGTTGGAATCACGCGACCTTATAGTTAGCTTTTCTTAATGCTAGTTGGAACACTTATCGACATTTATTTGGAAACGTTTTTTGGTTGGAACGTTTATTTTGTTAATCTAGAGTTTCAAATGTAACAATTCGTGACCGCCAAACTCTCATCAACCCTCGTTTGACCGGTTTAAGAAACGTAGTATATTTTTAACGAAATGCTAACGCTAGCGTCATTATGTAGCCTAAACACGGTCATAGTGTTTTTGAAATCAAACTATTACTATATTTTTACAATTGCTAAGTTTGATTGTTTTACTTGAACGTTTGCAATTCCTAGGTCTATTCTCAGAATAGAAGCAGTACATTATTAATGATTTTATTCATAAAGTTTATATTAATCGAATATATGTTCGAGCATGCGCTTTTTAAACGGTTCCCCAACTAGAGCCCTTCTTAAGCCGGCTTTCCATTAGCGAATTATCTCGCGCAAAGGCGATCTTTTTCCTTTCTCGGTATCACTTGACAGCCCTATTAGCCGTATTCACATTAGAGACGGACAAGTCGTCTACACGAACAAATCGTCTCTCAAAAATCGTCTTCACAGACGGACAAGTAGTCGAATAAATTCAGACGACTTGTTCGTCTAAAATTTTGTCCGACACGTTTTCACATCTGATGATTTGTCTGACTAAAAGACGATTTTGAGACGATTTGTTCGTCTCAGAAACGACTTGTCCGTCTTCTAATGTGAAAACGGCTATTACGTCAGCAAGACGGGGCAAAATGGATGCCGACAAAGGAAAACAGCGACTTTTTATAATCTTTTGGACGAATGATGGTAAATTTGTTTTGTAAATGGTTAGTTTATTTTGAAAAATTGCTTTTCACATTGTTTTAATTGTCTGCATTGATTAACGAGAATTAGATGCCATCCAAAAATGGCGGATATATTCGTCATCGTGAGAAAGGCTAATTAATACATTTTTCCCCAGTTAATTCTATTTTCTTCTAGCGGACCTTAATTAACGCTAATCAAGTTTTCACTTCATAAAATCATTATTCAAGATTAGTCTTTAAATAAATCGGCAGCTTCGTGGCGACCGCGCAGACAAAAACAATATAGAAAGGGAGGTTATTTATTTCAAGAACGTTCGACAAAGGCTTGTTATGTGGGATTTTTTTCTGTACAATTACATCAGTTTCAAGTGATATGCGGTCACCTCACGCAAAAAGGTTGGGAGCAATAAGTTGCTTTTGACATTTAGGTGCGCTCACTAATTCAATTTTCGGAAACGTCAACAGACTCGCGTTTTGGGTATTTATAGAATAATTAATAAGTCTTTTTTTCTGTGCTGGTGTTGTGTACTCAGGTGAATAATATGTTTGTGATGTTACTCTGAGTGCATATCCACACCGGGCGAGCTTGAAAAATATGCCCGGCCACGGTGGGATTCGAACCTACGACCTTCGTAGGTTCGAATCCCACCGTGGCCGGGCATATTTTTCAAGCTCGCCCGGTGTGGATATGCACTCAGAGTAACATCACAAACATATTATTCACCT